GAGCATTTCAAAATGCATAAGTTACAGTATTTTCCTTACTACAGTAGCTGAATAGTCCATATAGTTAAAATAAAAAAAGAGCATAAATGCTAAAAATAGTGTTACTGCTTGTGCACGGATCCTGTGTTTACTCAGGTTCCTTCCAGTGTCTCGGAGCTGTGCCCTGCACGGCAGTGCGGGAGCAGTCAGAAAGGTGCCTTGCATCTGCCAGGAGATCTGAGAGCTGAGTAAGGCTTGACTTGAGGTTTGTGTACCCAGCCGCAGAAAGAAACAGGTGACGGCATCTGCCGTGAAAGTGATAGATTTTCCTAGGAAAACTTCACTCTGAAATACCAGAATAGAAGCAATTGATAAGGGAGCTGTGTTTTCACTTTGTTTCATCTCTTCTTCTCATTGCAGTTTCATAGACACAGCCCTAAGATGCGTGACTAAGGTGCAAGGTGCTTAAACTTCACTACCATTGACACACACCTGATATAGAGTCATTTGAGCTTTATCCTCGTAAGCTAAGATATTAAAAGAGCATACTGTATTATATCTCAATAAAAGGCAGCATGGTCAAAATAGCAACTGCCAATCTGCAGGACAGTGTGGGTTCCAATCTGCCTGTTATTTATGTTATAATGGAAATGGAATGGAAGAAATGACAAATATGCTCAGCAGATCTGATGAGCATCCAGACGGAAAGCCATTATTAGCAAACATTCATTTAGCAGAGGCAACTATTGCTGCTACAGCCTGGGTAGCGTGTTGGACAGAACATGAGCTTGGAACAGGAATCTCTCAAATGAACACCAGAGAAGAAAAATGGTGAAGGAAAATATCACTGGCACTGCTGCATATGGCAGCGAACATGGTGCCAGGCCTCAGATTCCYTTATCCACTGAGAAGAGCCGTGCTCTGCACCCAAACATCATGGTTAACTCTTTCCGTGTCCCTCTGGGAGCTGGCAAGAATTGGAATGGGACTTGAGACCTTGCCTGAGGCACTGTGCTGCTCAGAGCCGAGCGCCCCCGGCCCCACGGTGACAGCCACGTGCTGCTCCCTGCAGKCTGGTGTGATGAGGAAGGGCGACGCTCATCCCACGGCCGCTTCTCCAGCGCTGCAGGCCGCCACTAACCCGTGGCCAGAGGGGCGAGGGCAGCAGGACGCTGCTGTCTGCTCCCAGCCTGCACGAGTGCCATGCACCGCCTCGCTGCCCCGTCTGCACGGTGACACCGGGGCTAGGCGCAGGACAGCCCCCGAGAGGGCCAGCCCCCGGTCCTCAACGCGGGGCCTCAGAGAGGCCTCCAGAGCCCAAACCAGGTCTGCAAGGGAAGCTTCACCAAATGCCTCCAATATACATTTATTCTGGATGTAGCTTGTACTTTCTTATTTCCATAACACATGTGCTGCTCCTTAGTCCACAAGGAAGCCATACTGAAAGGAAGCCAAGCAAAGCACCACCACGGGCATCTTCCTGCTGCCATTCCCTTTCTGGAGAGGGATCCAGCACTGCCCTGCACGCGCTGCGAACTCCCCCTGCACGGAGCAGCCGGGGGGCCGGCCGCCGGGAAGCCTTGGGGTGCCTGTCCCTGGGGTGCCTCGTACTGATTCACCATGGAATTAGTGTCTAACCAGCAGCTCATGAAGCAAAGCAAGAAGAGGACAGAAAGGAGAGTTAAATGCAACGTTCTGCTGAGGAAGCACCAGAGGACGTTGTCATCCGAGCATTCTTCTTTTGCCTTTCTTCTGACCTTGAGAGGAGCCCCATTCCAGAGCCTCCTCACCTTCCTCCTCGTGGCTACTGCTTCATAAACAAAGCCTATATCCAGAAGGCCAATTCCAAATTCTGGTAGGACTGTGTGCCCTTCATTTATATTCCTTCTCCTGTCAAAGTGATGGTGACATTAACAAGCATACTCAGAGGGGGGCTTTGTGCCAATTAACAATTTCTCGTTAGCTTAATTAGGGGACACATGTTTTTAATCACAGCTAAGAATGTGGAGTGATTGAAGAATTGATTCTGAGCTTTTGAAAGCATCACTGTCAGTGCATGGAATTTAATTCGGCAGATGTGGTTAAAGAAAGAGAGCAAGGGCCTTAAATGACTTTGGCTAAGTGAGCTTAATAGCAGCTGGAGCACAAGAAATTGCAGTTATATGGACAATATTGCCTTATCATAACCAATGACAGACTCTACTCTTGTCAATTTTCAGACTGAGATGTGTGTAACGCAGTGGGATTTCCTGTACACACACACACACACTCTTGGATGAACATCTGTCATTCTGCTGTACATACGTGAGCCTTGTCTGCTGAGTGGTAAGCCTTCCGAGTGGGACATGATCCTTTCCAATCATTTCCTCTACACCGATCCCAACAAAATAGATTTTCTGCTCTCTGTGAATTGTAAACAAGAAATCTCCTGGATGACAAACGCCTCTTTGGTGGCCATCAGGGACCATTAGCCAGGAAAGCAGCTTCCGCGTGCAGCTCTCCTGGCAARGCCAACTCGCCTGTCCGAGCTGCGGTACCGATGCTGAACAAGTCCTGAGCCCCTGCCTGCTTGACCATTCTGCAAAGAGCAGAGGTAGCTGAGCTGCCGCCTGCACTTCCTCCTTGCAATACACTGCTTCTGCTCCGCGAATTCTTCTCCTTAACATATAATCTCTTCTGCTTACAAGGGCATTTCTTCAGGGATGATCATGTAAACAATAACCAGGCAAGTCCCAWCTCCCAATGTCTAATTTAAGCCATCTCAGACCTCCTTTAGCATCARTATTACACTCTCTCCCCCAGCAAGTTAACCCTTGGCAGTTCTCAAAAGAGAGGAAATGGAAGAAAAAGGTGTGTTTTGAAGTGATTGTTGTTCCAAATCTGTCACTAAACATTTCAACCAGAGCATGAGCTCCAGCAAGGCTCAGCAAAGCTGTGAAACCCAAGCTGGTTGTGCTGAAAAGTAAYCGAGGCTTCACTTGCTTTTGCAAGGGTAACACATAGTGTCACTGTGGGAGATGGAGAAACATAGACCTATCAAAAAGGCTTCATTGCAAAAATGAAGATGTAATATTCCTGCTGCAGGAAGCAGATGCAAATATCAGCATCYCCCTGCCTCTCTTCATCTTGCTGTTTGGTCGTTCCCCTGCTCCTTGTAACTCTAGCTTTTATTTAATAGTGTTACTTAACTTATCCCTTTTGTCATCTCACTCTAACCTTGCCTTTGAAAAATGGGAACATAACATATTGTAGCATTTGCACAATGTGAGAAATGATGACATTTACTGGCAATAGTATAAATAGGAATAGAGGCCTCAAGGTCTTTGATAGAGGTAGCAATATTTATGCAACTGCTAAGATGTGAGTGGTTTCAGGCAACAAAAACATATGAATGGAAAAACTTAACAGTATGGGCTTGACAAAAGAGATTACTTTAATGCAGCTAGGCCAATGCACCTAAACCCCTTTATACAATATCTCCACACCCACACATCTGCATCCACTGAACAGCATCATCTCTTGAACAGCTTTTGTACAGACCACATATCTGTGAGGAGACGTCACCTTGTCATACAGTCTTGTCCTTCACAGACCACATAGCTACCTCCTCTACACAAAGAGGGAAGAAATTAAAGAGCTGCCCAACTTTAAAGACACCTGAAAAGCAATTACGCCATAGACTTTCACCCCTTGACCATTTAAACTAACTACTCTAATTGGATAGTATGTTWCATGCACACTTCAAATGATAATATAAAGGATTTTAGGTGATTGATCTTCAAGGACTCATAGCTTTGATAAACACCCATAATGTCCCATGACTCACGCTAGGAGCCAACTCCGCTCYAATGCATGACCCTCCTGCATCTACCTGACCACTTCTCTTATAGGAGAGAGAGTGAAATAGCCATTTTCCAGAGGACACCTTGCCTGGTGGTTTCAGCCAAGCCTAGCGGGGTCACAGGTTTTACCTCCTTTCCCATTACCTGCCTCTAGGGAGCCTCSCTTGGAGGCTGCAGGCACGGAGCAGGCGCTGAGCCGAGGCCAAAGCGGCTCTGTCACTGCCTTACACTGACCTTGCCAAAGTTCTCCCGTCTTAACAAATTTGGAATGTCATCTACAATGAGACCGTGCTCACTTTACACTAACTATATATATAGATATCTTGCTTCTACCCTTGATTTGTTTTTTTAATGCATTTCCCTCCTCCTCACCCAAACATAATAAATAGTGGTATAAGGCTAATGTCAGAAATAGATGGATTCTCGAAGCTAGTAGACTGGAAACATTTGAAGAATGAGATCAGCAGAACCAAAGCCAGATCTAATAGCATTCATTTGTTATATTTCCCTTTTTTTTAACTAATCTAATGCCCATGTTTTTGTAGCAGAGGAGTTGAACATAACTTTTTCCCCCCTTCACAGATTTATGAGTAATACATAGCAAATCAAGCAGATCACTCATGCAAACAGTAGCTTTCCAATTCTCAGAAACATTCATCTTAAATAAAAGTCATGTGGGATATTTCAGAAATGTAGCAGTGCTCATGTAATTGTAGCTATTGATTTCACCTTTGGAGTAGCAATTATAAGATATATATGTGATGTCAATGGTGTTAATGAAACTTATCTTTTCCGACTCAATATTTTCCTTATTTTCTTATATATAGGAATTGAAGACAGTTAAACCTATACTGCAGTACAAGTCAGTGATGTATGACAGAAGACAATCATATTTTACAGAGCATCGTTAATCTGGAGAGATCCCAAAGTGCTTGCAACATATTTGCATGGGCCCACACTTCCTGACACAGCAGCACAAGAGACAACGTGAGGACTTCTCTGCTTTTATGGCTGCTAAGGGCATAACTAGGTTGCTCTCCACTCCTATGCTGGAGAGCKTAGGGCAGGAACCCTTCTCTAGGGAAAGGCTGCGACGCTGCCACGGCTGCAGCGCGTGGTGCAGAATGGATGTGAACTACAGGAGGAGAAATTCTTACCTTCCACTGACAACTGCAACATTTCATGGACTTGATGGATTTTCTTTACCTTCAACAAGGAAGGGTTAGATTGCCCTGCTGAGATGTAATCCTTACTTCCAACAGAATCATGTTCATCGTATTTGTTGATTAGACCAGCTGGCTAAGGATTCCAGGCTCCTTTCTCCCTCCCATTTCTATTTTTCCTCAGCGTAGCAAAGTTTTCAAAGCCAAACTGATGATGTATTATGGAAGACAATTGTATTTGATACGCTATCATGGTTTCSAGGCATCTTTGTCACCCTCACAACTCCAGTGCTCTAGCAATATTAATGGTACTTCCCCAAGCCAATACTAAAATAGTCTGAAGAACCTTCTGACGAGGACARAGCTGTTTATGGGATGATCGATCAGAGCAGTAGTCCGAGACCCCCATATTTGACAGACTATGGTAGGCAGCTGTGTACAACCATCAGCACGTGGCTGACGAGGAACATCCTCCCCAACTCCTTCCCYTCTTTATTTGATTTTATTTTCTCTTTGCCATGAGGCGAACGCATCAGCTGTGTGCAAACAACAAACAAGCCCTGCAGAGAATGTACTCAGGGCACTCAACCGTTCTGTGCAACCTGCRGACGTGGCATCCTTCTGCTTTGTTCCAGATCCTACCTTGTCGTCAGTTTTTATAGAAACATTTAGCTTTAGACTACAGTAAAAGCYGTATCACTTCTTAAATCCCTTCTTGAAGGCAGATGAAAACACCAGGGGAAGGTTAGAAAAGAGAGCCACATACCTTCTCAGCTGGCTATATGAAGTRAAAGCAAGACCTTCAATTCCAAGCGCAGCTTACACAGGCAGCCCTCCAAGATCCATCCAGGAAAGGTTGCTCTGGGCTGTCCTGTAAGCAGATATGCAAGATGTAAGCAAGCCTGCTTAAAATCTTTAGTGCCACCTCATCACTTCTCAGGAGTGATCCATTATTCCAATRCCTGCTCTACAGGCAGCTATCTCCCAGAGCTGGATTATTCAGAAGAAAGGCAAGCACCTACACAAACAACAACCAACCCCACAGCACACCTTTCCTCCAAGGCCCACTTTCATGGTTTTATAGCTCAACTGGGGTGATTTGGACACACCTGCAGGCATGACTCAAGAGCAATTACCTTGCAGGCTCCATAAATTACAATGATTAATTGATAACAGTAACTTAAGCACCTGCTGTTTTTAAAAAATAAACAAACAGTCAATTAGCGGAGCTTGCAAATCACTGGTGAGTGGCTGCTCCTCTGCCCTTGGTCAGCAAGGGGCAGGCTGGCCCAGCACGCCTCAAGTGAGCCAGGGCGCTCTGCCAAGCCAGCAGCCTCTGGCTCCTGCTCAGCGTGATGTAGCCCTCTGGGTTGATTTTTTTTCAAATATTTTAAGCAAAAAAGATTGGCAAAATAAACAAATAATGGCAGCAGTGTTCTTTCCTCTGTGTTTGAGCCACCTTTTGAACTAGAAGATGTGTAAGATCTTGTTCAGCAGAAATCATCAATCTGTGACACGTTTCTGTCAAGAAAATGAAACTTGTAATAAACCTGTGATGTTAACCAGAACTGATCCCCGGGCCCARCTTCCTATGCTGTTGTCATGATCAGCGTTCAATGCACAATATGTGGCTAAGAAGTCCATGGCCAAACTAATCCATACAAGTAGGTCAAGGAGAAATGACACACTGGGGAAAAATGGAGAAAAACAGTGAGAAGTGACATGGAGAGGGGGGCCTGGTGCTCTCTGCTTGGGGTAAGGAGGGAAGAGGGATCTTTGCAGATCTGAATCAGCAGTTTGTTATGGGAAAGACCCAAGGACTCTTGGGCTATGAAAACATAAAACTGGGCAACCGCGTTAGTGCCTGTCTGCGTGCCAGACTGTGCGGAACCCGAGCCGGAGCGGGGCGAAGGCTCCTGCCCTGCCGAGCGAGGCGGAGGAAACAGAGCCTGGCGGGCCGGGAAACCAGGGAAAGGCTGGGGAGATTCAGAGTTCACTAACGCCGTGACCTTGAGCAATCCGTTAAAAATGCCCGCACGCCAACTCCTTGTCTTTAAAATAGTATTTTCTTATTTTGCCTTGTCTGTCTACATTAATGAGTTCTCTGGGGAAGAAGCAGCTTCGCTGTCTGTGCAAGCATAAATATCGAGGATTTTGAGGCCTGCATCTCAGCTGAGTGCTCTAGGCAACGCGAGCAGCAATAGTCATCAATAGGCTACAAGCCTTGGACGCTTGGAAACCACCTGAAACTCACTGGAAACAGAGCGTGCTTTAAAACATTACAATACAATATAAAGAAGCAAATTAGTTAATATGCTTATAAAATATGAAATAATTACAGAAAAGATTAAGAAAAAGAGGGAAATTATTTTTTAAAAAGTCTATAAACAAACACATTTCTTAAATAAATAAAAGGATTATAGTAAAGCTTGCCTGTGAAAACTGATAAAAAAGCCTTATCCTTAATTTCCTCTACATCCATTAAGAGCTAGCCATGTGGAGAACTTATTAGTAGCTGTAATATTTCAACCTGTGTTTTTAATGTTATTCACATTAACGTAAAGCAGATGGAATGGACCATATTTTCCTAAATTACACACATTAAAAATCTAATTRAAGCTCTTGAGCTTCAAAACGTTCTCCTAGAGCAGGTCCAAGGCCGGAGCGAGCGACGCTGCCCTAGCGGGTCAAGGGCAGGCGCTGGTGCACCGTGCCCGGAGCGTCCCCGTGTCCCCTCGGCCTCACTGGGGGTCCCGGAGCCCTGYCGGGGGCTCCTCCTTTGCAGAGGGGCCCCCTTGGCACAGGGCTGCTGGAAGCGCCGCCCGTCCCGGTGCCCACGCGAGGCGGAGGCCGGTGCAGCCTCCTTGTCGCGAGGCCCGCACGGCCTCGCCGGCCTCCCCGGGCACCTTCYGCTGCGCCTCCGCTCCCCGCTGGCTCCAGGCTTGCTCAAACACAAACGAGGGTTTATGCAAAGCGCGCCTGACATCTGGAGAGCAGTGAAGCACGAGCGCGCTCACCGGTGCGAGCCGCGGGCGCAGGAGGCTGCGGGCAGCACCGCGGCCTCCGGGACGTTTTCCCGGGATGCGTGAGACAGCCGGGGGTGACGGGGACGCTGCAGCAAGCGCCGCTCCTTCCGCGGGCTCCTGCGGGTTCACCTCCTTGCTCCTACACAGAGCGGCTGCAAAAACACGTTGCGTGCTGGCCCGTGTATACAGCATCAATGTGCAAAAGAGACAAATTAATGTTTGTTAATTTTACCACATCTGGGAGGGACATACAAAAACGCCATGAATGACCTGCAGCAGTTGATCGGAATATCCTATTTAGCAGCCTTGGTTTGGGCTAAGGGAAGAGGGAATTTYCATTCTACTTCACATGTTAATGGCTTTGCTTTTTGATTTGGAGAAATTGCCATGTTTATAGGCCAAAATGATAAGCACTAAGTGACAATAGATGGAAATGTGCACTGTGAAAAACGAACCGAGACAGGGGACAGGAGTCAAAAAAACCCACATCTAGAAGAACAAATAAAGTCTGCAATGAAAGACRGAATCAAACATGCCACACTATTCCCTGCTCTCCCATCAGACGCCCCAGAGAGGATCCCACCGTGTGATAAGGGTTCAAAATTCACTGGGGATCACTTTGAAAGCAAACCCTTAAAGGTGAGCACAGGTATGTTTTTCACCAGAGTGTTACTCGTAAATTATATCTTAATAGTTAATTTATTTTCTCTAAATCAATGTAAATATATCCACATCAACCTAATGCCACTTAGTCTAATACTCTCTTTAGAGGAGAAACTGCTCTTCTCTTGTTTCAAATCAAATACAGATTTTGTTCCCCGATGGACCGGTTTTGATTTTTTTTTTGTTTTAGATTTGCTTATATTGAACTTTAATAAATGAAAGCAAAGATTTCCCCGCTCAGGTTTGGTTTGCTCTTGTGACAGCCGGCAAAGCGGCGACAAGAGCGGCGCAGCAGCTCCGGACCRAGCTCCTAGGCGTCTCGTTCCCTTTATGCTTTAGACCTTGTGCTCCATCTAAAAATATCTCTCTGCTGGCAAAATAAAATCTTCTCCCCGCGTGACCGTTCGGGGAGGTGCACAGGCAATGACGGAATGGATTTTCCCATCTGAAAATCACCATTTTAAAGGCTCTGCTGGAAACGGCTGGGTGAGTTCAGCTGCGCCCGCGCCAGCACCGGMCAAGCCCGGGGGTTGATCCCTGCAGGCAGCAGGTCCCTGTGCAGGGATAAACCCGCGAGCCCGGAGGCTGAGGAGCCGCGAGAGCGGGCGCTAAGCTGGGCCTGGCCCGCTAAGCGGGGCCTAAGTGGGGGCTGCCCACGCAGGGCGCAAGCTGCTCCGGGGATTACCTGGCACGTTTGAACTCAACACCCATTGCGGCTGGCGACGCTGGTGCTTTCCATGGCGTGAGGTTGCATCCAGGGCGGGCTGCCTGCCCGACACAAACACCTTCAGCAGGGGATGCGGCAGCAAAACCACAGCCCGTTTTTTGAGCGATGCCTGAAATTGTTGGCTTTTCCTCCCCCCCCCACCCTTAAAAATCCCACTCACTTCTCTAACTCCCTAGCTCTCCCCCTACTTTTCTGGTAATGGCTTAGTAAATAATTCAGAAAAAAAAAAACAAGGACCAGAACTCGGCCTAATAAAAATGATGTCTCTATCTGCTGTTGAGGCGCATTGTGCCACTTAAGTAAGACAGATGGGAGGAGATGCTGCACTTTGCTTAGTAAACCGCATTGAGAGGAACCGAGTAAGCCTGAAATTAGAGCAGAGGGTGAGCTGGGGGTGGAGGCACCGGTACAGTGCTGCCTGACAAAGATGCAGGGAGAAGTAATTTACTCTGAAGTGACAGTTTGAAGGGGGAAGAAAAATAAACACACAGAAGGGAGCTCACACTCATTAGCGGCCCTGCCTCTGAATTCATCGTTAATAATAATAGAGGGCCTAGCTGAGCCGGTGCCTCGCACGGCGGCTCGAGCCGGGGGCTGCATTTCCAGCCTGCGCGTGTGGCCGCGGGGCAGGACAGGGCCCCCGGGGACTCCGGTTTAGGAATATTCCCATAATGTGGAATATTCCCGTAATGTGGAATCGCTGGTGCAGGCACAGCAGACGCGGAGAGGCGGAGACGAAGGCAACAAGCCGTGGCCAGAGGCCGGGAAGGGAGCTGCAGAACGGCTGGAGCTGAGCCCGAGGAGAACAAACAGAAGGAGATGAGCTCACGCGAGGTTAGCGACCAGGGCAAAATACTCTTCTCACCATCCAATATCCACACTAGTTATTTCCTCTCCCTTAGAAACCTTTCTGGAATACATTTTCTGTTTTGCATTCTCCCCATTACCTGGGGCTTCAGCACACTGCAAGCTGAGCAAGCCTTGGCCTGGCTCAGGATTTCAATGAGGAAAAAAGGAGYGTGATAACAGTGGCCATGCTCCTGGAAGCGGCTCTTCCTCTGGATCAGTAACAGGCCGGTATCTCCGAGGGGCAGAGCGCTACAGTTATCACGAGGGCCCCATTCCCCTTTTCTTTACATTATAGCCCTACTTCTGCAATGCTCAAGTACTCAACTTCCATTAAATTGTAGCAGAACCAGCAGTCCCAATGGCCATGACCACTTACAGCTGAGAACATATTCTCAGCTCAGCCTAGAACCCTACCCACTGTGCTGTCCGGAGGAGCTTATCTTTGAATCCTAAGTGCCGAAAATCTGCTTTGCAGTATAACTCAGATCCAGGCCTTTTGGCACCTGTTTTGCTTCCACTGAAACCAAATAACGCTTATGAAGAACCCCCAGCTACGTGAAACCAGAGAAACCCACACATCTTTATGGCTGAAACGCAATTTATAAATATTGATTGTGTGCTTGAGGCTCAATCTTGCAAGGTGCTGAGTACACACACATCTTACCCGTGACCTTCAGACAGGCTCCGGGGAACGACGCTTGATAAACGCACAGTATTGTTATTCTAGCAACAGGAGCCGCTAAGCAGGAATATTATGTCACTTAAAACACAAGTTCAGATTTGTTTTGAAAACATACACACAGTGGAACTTGTGGAGGTTCGGTGCATTAATTATGCCTCAGCAGGAGAAAAGAGCTCTGACAAATTATGGACAGACTAATTAGATGTCTTTAATTAAAATACACGGTCCTTGTGAAACTCAGACTGGACCTGGCTCTCCTAAGACTGGAGATGACCTCGGCGAGGCCGTGCAGGGCCCAGCGGAGGCCGGTGTCCTCCCTTGGTTGTGCACGAGCAGCTCAGCAGGGYTTGGAGCTGCCAAGGGGCAGGAGACCCAGGGCTCCCACCCGGACGCAGTGCCGCAGACGGGGCCCCGCTGTAAAGACCTGGCATCGTTCACACTTTGTGATGAAAACCCTGGCTTTCACGTTGTTCCTATAGGTTTAACTGAACCTTTTTCAAGTGAGTTATGGTTTGTATTTACATAAATTACCATACGAAACTTGTTAATATTTCCTGACTATCCTTTTTCATAGTGTTATTAGACAAGGTTCTGTGCTTTTGTTTGGGGCTGAATGTCAGCAAATCAGGATTCATGACTGTGATCAGTTAGGAACACAGCAAAATAATTTATTCCCWATCATATAGGCTGGATGTCAAATATCTGTCCTAAGAAATGCTATCTGAAATCAGCAGAATTTTATCATGCAAATTTCCGGAAGCGTTATCGTTAGGAGCAGCAGGAGGTTCCTGATTCACTGTCATTTATCCCTTAAATGAGTTCAGACTTGCTCCACAGAAGGCACCACGTGCCAAATGTACTTTGGTCTCTCCTGTTTTTTGCCAGGATGGGGCAAATCATCCCTATGCAAAAACCGCAATGAAGAGAGTCTTGGTGTTTACCATGAGAGCAGCGCTACATGGTGAGCAGGGCTCATCTAGGAAAGTTTGCCAGGGAGGAAAAGATTCTCTGCGGATTCTGTCTGTGCGACTCGCACTATCTGAGGGCTGCTACAAACTCCTCATGGGTGCCGACACGTGGAAGGGACACGGTTCGCTTCATTGCATCCAGAGAATGAAGTTCGCTCTGCAGGGGAATCCTAAGCGGAACAGTCAACCTGCAGCTCAGAGGGGTTCTCATGCACTCATGATGAGCCCGACTTCCCCGTTCTTTATGGAAAACAGATTGGGAATTCCTATGGGGAGGAAACAGAAGCTGGAGCTCAAGCAGAGCGCCCCATGGCTTTAACGAGCACCTCTTGCTCAGGACGGACTGGGGCTCTATTCACCCCAACAGTGAATCTCTGCCTTCCCAGGACAGAGGCAGTGGGTGAAGCAGTAGGAAAAAGAAAAAAAGAAGATGGAAACATGAGACAGCAAACAAGTGCACGGAGCCATGGAGGGTTTCAGCCGGGCAAGATCGCAGCCCCTTGCAACTGGTGCGCGCGGCGGCTGACAGTATCTCCGACACGCGCTCTGATCATGCTCTGTCCCTGGAGGAGCGACAGTTTTTAATCCTGTCACCGTGAAGCATCCGAAGGCAGCGCTGATGGAGCTGAGGAACGCTTGTCAGGCGCCCCTAATCCCGCCTGGAAGGATTACACGCTCGCCCTGCGCGCAGGCAGAGCGGGGACGCGGGCAGCGGGACGCTGCGCGAGCCACATGAAAGCTTCCTCCATGCTTCAGCAAGTTACAGATACCRAGCATAAATAAGATTATATTATTTTCCCATCTTTTTCTACTTCATTACCACTGTCAAAGATGCTGATCTAAAGCTTCTGATACCTATCGCTTTACTAGCGGCAGCTCAGAACTGTTCTAAGCCCTCCATTCACGGCACCCAGGTGGGAAATACAAGCAGTTTCAGCCCAGCACTGAAGTTCTGRATGGATCACAAAGGTATTAATTGACTTCTCAAGTGACACAGTGACTTGACCAGAAACTGACTGAACACGTCCTCTAAGTGGAGCCTCCTCGATCAGCGCGAAGGCGAACGCAGCAGTCACCTTTCCCTCCCATGACAAGGAGAGATATGTTTAAAACGGCAGTACTGGGAGTAAAGAGGTTTAGATGCCCAGGAAGGTCTCCACACGTCCCAGCTACGCTTTGTGCTCCTGCACATTCCCAGCCCCTCCTGCCCTAGTCACTCACATCACACTCCTCTCTAGCCTCTGATCTTTGACTCTTCATTCAGCAGCTCTCCTGACATACACAGGGGCAATCAGGAGAAAGAGCAGCCTCTCCAGCATGCTCACTCATTCTTATTATGGATGGGAACAGAGCAATCCTTTAAGTTTCATGTCACTGACAAAATCTCTATAAAATGTCACATCCAGCTAACAGAAACTAGTGACCTTCAAGTCTATTAAACGGACATAATTTTTTACTTCGGCTTACACCAAGACGTGTCACAGTAATGATTCTCCAACTTCACCCACATGCAGCACGCTACCTCGCTGCCCATTAAGGTCGCGAGGTTCGTTGTCAACAAACCTGCTAAYGGCAATCACACAAAAGGCAATTGCTTTTCCAAGGTCCATCACTCTATTAATGAACCCATACGCAAAGGAACAGCAGTTCCCTAAATTTATAGACATGTACRTGCCTGCTAGGGGTCTACCAGCTCTGGAGAGTAATTTCATCTCGCCAGACTGCACGGCGGTGTTTAGCCACGTGGGGACTTTCAGTGTTATTACGTCAATAACAAATGAAAGCAGAGCTGCTGTTTTTACTGATAAACCAAATAAGTGGACACAAGTGATGTAGCCTGGAYGACCCTCTGCCATTCCAGTTCCTGAGACCACTCTTGAAGGAGCCACTGAGTTATTTTTGAACCAGAGGCCCCTGGGTTGCAATCAACAGCTTCATTTTTTCAGTCACTTAGCATCTGCTGTGTTGATTTCCAATTGATTTCTATCTATAGGTAGCCTTTAAAAGCTGTTATGGTGAGGCCCAAATAGTAGGCTTTCAAATTCATAACTACGGGGTAAGGCTACGAGTAACTTGCAGTTGAGCAGGAGAATTGGTCTAAAGCCGCCCRCTCCTGCCCTCCCGAGGGCTCTCCGTGCGGGGCCACGGCCAGAGGGGCTTCCTTCAGTCCCGGGCTGGTCTGCATCGAAATCCCGGCAGCATTTTTCAATCTACACGGCTGGCTTAAAGAGCATTTTTAGCATACTAGAAAAGATTGGGGAAAACGGCTTCCTGCTACCGTGCGGATCATCATAGGAGAGGCCCTGCGTTTGCTACGGTTTCCTTAATTTTCCTGGTCCTTAAGCAGCAATTCTTAACGCTCTATGGGAGAGGCAGTTTATCTGATGAGGGAATACTGAATCACAGCATGTGACAGAAACTCTGATGACCTTTTGGTGAAAACAGCCATAACCTCATCAAAGCCATTCAGGAGAGATGTTATAAAGTGCTAATAGGAATTAGGTATTTAACTTGATGACTGTGTCAGGATTATTCAGAGTTACGCTCTGAATTTTGTTTGTCTCTGCTGTTTGAGCCCCTTTGAGCCCCACAGAAGATCTGAACAACMACTGGAGATGGGAGAAGGGGAAATTTTGCGTGACGTTGCTGTTTCACCTTTGGAAGCTCCTTTTCATCAGTGCACAAACGGACAGAACTTTCACTCCAAGGACTTTGCTAGGTTTTGAAGGTTTCTTTACCTTGATGATGTCGCCATTTGGAAGTGGATCCACGGCAGTCTTATTTTCCGCCCTTTCGTGGTCACTGAGCTCCTGTCCCAAGGGCRCTTCGATGGGCCAGCAAACGAGGTGCCGAGGAGGCTGGAGGGAAGCAGGGCAGGGCCCAAGCTCGGCGCTCTCGCCCATCTCCTGTGCAAGAAAGCCAGAGGACAGAGTCACGCTGGTGCTAAGTGCACTGATGAGCACATGAGCACTGTAACGACACGGGAAATTAGGTTTCTTCCCTGAGCTGGCTCCCAATGCGGGAGCTGCAGGGAGGATGCCTCCTTCTGAGGGCCACAGTAATGTGGCCAGCATTCCCCTGTAGTTTATATTTAGGTGGAGTCCTCCACACCTAAAAGGGAAGCGCTTTATTTTCAAAGGAAAGTGAGCAATTCATAAAACATTACATGTTGACACGTTCTGCAGAATATAAAAGGGCTCTCGGCTGCCTTCAGGCCCCATTTGCATAATTTTTGCTTTGCTTAAGCCAGGTAAACCATGGCTAAAACCTGAAGTATTTATCACCTGTGCATTTGCAAGGCGCAGATCATACAAACATCAGAGAGGGCTGCCTGTTCTCAGTGCAGGAAGGGGAAGGCTAGGGGGGATTCTAGCTGGGACACAACACTCACCTCTACCGTTCCAGCTGCTTTTCAGCACCTTATTTCAATAGAACTCAGTTAAAATACAGAAATTGCACACAAAGAAGCCTCAGCCCTTCACAAGTGAAAACATGACAGAATAAAACCTGTCCGTTCTTACGATGCCCACTTCTGTTTCTGCCCCAAACTGTGGCTGAGGGACAAATAAATAAGTGAAAAGGAGAAACGCTATTGTTTGGCACTTAATATCAAACATTTTCCCTGGTCTCGTCCTCCTCTTTCCCTTCTGTTGTCCTAATAAATAAAATAATACTTTGGGGATTTAGATTTACAAACAAATCATCTCTGTATTTGGCTATATCTTCTATAGCAACACAAGAGAAAGGTTCTGTTACTCAATAACTGTACACAGAAAACGCATACAAATTATTGCAGCTGTCGCTATCACAACTTCAGAGTAAATGCAGATGGCATGAAATAATATTCACAAACAGCTAATAGAATTTTAATGGTTTTAGAAAGAAGAGAAAATGAAAGACACTGTATTTACTTGTGATATRCAGGGAATTTATGGTGTGTCAGTGCAAGTAACGAGTCACTTTGGACCTTCCACTTTCCCGCAGTCAGAAGTGGGCAAGTCCCTGCGGGGTTTATTTATGGGAAGTTTAAACAGCAATCATAATTTGTGAAATATTCAAGGATGCATCTGCATAAAGTATGATGTTCGCATTATGCAAATGTCATGTATGAGGAATGAAATGCATCAAATGTCTTGAGGACACCCAGATGTTAAAGCTACCAAGATGCCAGGAAACATGGAAGGTGGTGAAGAACATGATTTCCTCTTGAGCTAATTGATTTTCATGTTCCAGCATCACCTTCTAAATGCTTCCAATCAAGAAGCAAGCTCCAGTTACAGTTCACTTGTTGAGTTTGTCTTTTTTAATTAGCATTTCTCACTTTCCGTTTCCCAGAGAAGTCCACGAAGGAGCACAGCCTCCTCGGTGGTTAAGCGAGATGATTCCTGCAGACTCTCAGCGCTCAGCTGGGCCTGGTTCAGTCAGGCACCACCTCCTCGTTGGCCTTTCTCTCCTGCTTGTAGAGCAGTACAAGCAAGAGCAGCTTTCTCTGCTGCCCACTGACGGCATCAGGGAGATAAAGGCAGGAGCAGCCAGGCCCTGCACTTGCTCCGACCTGCATCCCAGGGCACACAGGCTGAAGGTGTCTCTTAGGCGCTGGGAAGATGCTGGTGAACTGTAGTAGCCCAAGTATTGGTGTTTTTAAGTCGGGCTTTGCATAAAACTGAATAAACTCCTAACTCAATTAGAAATGTAAATCTCAAGTTATCTTCAATGATGCTGATCTTATCGATACAGTAAATCAGTAACAGTCTGGAAACGACAGATTAAAACCGATAAAAATTATGTTAGCACTGAGCACATTTGATGTTATAAAAATGGAATTTGTGAAAACAAGTCAAAATGATGCCTGCTCAATCTTTTAATGCTGATAAATATCTTCTAAATGTCTGTAGCTTGACCCAAACACCAAACTCATAATAATTTGAGAACTTTCCCAAATTATTACGTGGTTACGTGGTGCATCCCTTCAGAACAGACTGTGGCTTACAAGTCATCTSCTCCTGGTGGCAGATGTGCAGCCCGAGCCTCGGCTGCAAAACCAGGCAGAACTCCGCAACCCATTAGACCAGTGAGTCCAGAACATCACTCTTCTTGCACCAGAAACTATCAGACAAACTGACTAAATCTACATCAGTCATTTCGTGTAACGGCAATATTGCCCACGAGGCAGATTGCTGCTACAGGATCAATTATAACAAAAAACACGCGCCTCAGCTTTGCTTGCAGTTTTTCTAGCTGCATTCAGTTCCATTGACATTCATTTCGAAACGGGATGGATTCCCACGCTGTCCGTGCAAATTCAAGTTACGGGTGCCATGAAAACACTCAGCTCAAACCCCCTCGGGAGGCAGAGCCGTCGTGGTCGTGCGGGTGAAGGGCGAGTGAGGTTCACATCCAGTTTGGCTCCGAACAGCTCACGTCGCTGTCTTTGCTCCGCACCAAAGGCCTGTGGAAGGCAAGGATGGCACAGAGATGCGGGAGCCCGTATTTCCTTGATCTACCCTTGCCTTTTATTTGTCATTAATAGCATATCCTTGAATATATGGCAGTAATAACACGAGGGTGCACGATGCTGTTCTTGGACTCGGGACTCCCCTGCTCTTTGCCCATTTGTATCGCAGCTCCCCTRAATGTGTTTCTGTGTGTGTGAGGGGGAATTTATGCTGCAGCGCGCCAARGGACTGCCTTTAATGCATCTTCTCCCTCGCATGAATCTTCCGCCTCCCCTACACGGTGTAGATATTAAACACATTATTCTGTTTCGATTGAATACTAGTGGAATTAAATTTCCTCAGTGTCTTACTTATTTCTCCTGAAGCTGTGCAGGGATATGCATTCAAGACAGTGGAAAGGGAAGAGAGGAAAAGAAAGGAGAGGGTCAGGTACTGAACTAAAGAGTCCCCATTTTCACCTTTATTAGCAGTTTTATGCTARATATGATAAATGTTAGCTTCAGTGGTGCAAATTCCAACATCTGCTCCATCTCCGCCTCGCAGACGTGTTGACAGGTGTAGTCTCCTCCTCTGCCTTGCTGGGGAGCTGACAGATGGACYGTCAGCAGTAAATAAAGGGTAAATCCCCCAGGCAGTGGCAAGGGGCTCCCGAACTTCTCCTTTGTTTTCACTCATTTGATTTCATGTCTGTAGACTCTGTACTCACTATCTTAACAGCACTTAACAAGGAACTCCCATCTCTTTAATGCTTTCTTTTATCTCCCTTGACAAGATGAAAGTTGAATGATGTTAATCTGCCAGATATTTCTGATCATTACGAGTGCAGTAAAAATTACCACCGTCATTGGAAATTAATTGCAAAATAAACTAAAGTTAGAAGGGAATGGCCGAACTTGCTTTCCTCTCACACACCAAAGCAGAGCCCTGCAGATGTAGAAACACAGCGTACAAACGCACTGCTGAGGGGCTGCGTGGATCAGCCATCCACGGGGTGTATCCATGACTCCAGGGGCACCCACGGCCAAGATCTCCGCAATTTGATTTTAGAAAAGCTTCCACTATAATTATTAACTACCAATACCCAAGAATTGCATTGAGTCCACGGGAAGCTCATTAATTGTACATTCTTAAAAACTGAGGCAGATGTGCTGCACGTTACGTACTCCCGAGCAGGATCGCGCAGCGGGGACGGGTGCAGGGGGCAGGACGGGGGGCAGCGCACGCGAGAGCAGCCCCCGGCCCCAGCCTGCAGCCCCTCACCCTGCGACACGGCTGCGGATCCTAACAGCAACGTGAGACACGGAGGGAATTACGGATTTCACCATCTGAAAGTCGGTGTTGCTCACAAGGTTTATTCCTCACAAGAAGAAAGAGTATCTGATCCTCCTGCCACAGTATTCAGGAGCACAGGAATTTATACTTTAAGGAAAGGCTCGGAGTCCATTGAAGTCAGTGGTGAGAATCCCATGTGCTCCGGTGCTCTTTCACTTGAGTCTGAACACATGGAGAAAAATAGCAGGAGGCAAATCCGGAATGTTTTATTCCATTCTTGTTCATGCAAAACTCCTTCTAATGGCAGCTGGAGCTGCAGGGGAACACAGCAGTATCGTGTGTGAATCAACTCATCTAACGCGCCTTATTCAAACCTCTCTCACTGCCCATATCTGCCTAGACTAGGAACAAACCAGTTCTCTCAGGAACAGGAGAACGAACTCTAGGATTCAGCCCTAATAGCTTAGCAAAATTTTTTGCTTCCTAATAGGATAAATTTTCTTGATTTTTTTAATTCCTCAACTCCYGTTGATATTTATAGTAGTTGAATATTACAGGTAGAAAGGAAGGGAATCCTGGACGTTCTCAGACAAGAATGAAGTTATCCTCTGGGAAATAAAAGCATGCAAGACCCGCTTTCTGTCCTTATCCTCTTGCTGAAAGGAAGCTGCACCAAGATATGAAGGAATTTGCTGACTTTCTTGTTGGATTCATGAGCAGCATTCCTGCATGAGAAATCAGGTTTTGTTGGGGCTTTTTTTTCTTTCTTTTTTTTTTTTTTTTCTCCACTAGCTGCATATCTTCCTTAGCTTAAAATATTCAGTGCATATAAAGGTTGTGATAAACTATATAAATCCTATTAGCAGGACAGCGTAATAGCAGTTTCTGACGGATATTGACGGCTCTGCAGCAGACAATAATAATCACTCAGAGGCTCTGCTCAGTTTTACTTTCCTTTCTTCCATTTTTCCTCCATTTTTGCCAGTCAGACCCAAGCGCTTGACAATTTCTCTTTTCTTTTTAATTTAACAGGGTCATGTTGCAGCACAAAGATAGCGCAGAGYGGGGCACTGACAATTT